TCCGGGTGCCACATTTGTCCAAAACAGGAAGAGAAAATATATATATATTTTTTTGGGGGAGGGAGAAGGGATAAGGGGATTATAACTCTTGATTTCAACAAAAGCAAAGCCTTTATAAGGCTAAGAGTACCATTGAACCAATGACTCATTGGTTAAGAGAAAATAGATCTTATACTATTTTGGGATACAAGTCCCTTTATATACATTAGTTTCAATTTTTCTAAATGTTTAATGGTTGTTGATTTGTGCACTGATTGATTAATACTGATACTACTTGTTACATGAAAGGAATTTAACATAAGAAAGATAATAAAATAAAATAAAATACAAAGATATACATGGCTCAGTATAACATATATTACCTGATAATATACATATTTTATGAGTTTCTATCAATTTTCTTTGCTAATTCAGAGTCGTTCTTGTTCCATACATAAATAGATGATGTTTTTCTTTGTGTTCTTTATTTACTGTTGTGTCATATTATCTATCCAACTGTAAAAATTGTATTCATTGGATTTTCGAAGATACATATCAAATACATATTATATATATCTGATAATTAATAAAATATGTAGATACTTCGCTGATACTTCTATACATAAAGCGAGATGTACAATTTTTAATTTTAATCTATACTCTTTTTTTTCTAGTTCACATACAATACAAAACATCAATAAAATTCTATTGAATTTAGAAAACACAAGTGTTTTCTAAGTATATCTATCATTACATGTTAAAAGAGTATTAAAAAAAAGAGCTAGCTACATTATAATCTTATAAACAAATACTTCTAAATAAACCAACTAGTTAATATTGATTCTTATTCTTTTAATTGGTCAAGTTCACTTTTTGGATGGGTGAAAATTGGTAATTTTGTTTACTATTGTTAAATTATTATTAAAATTTATAATTTTTAAGTCATTAAATAATAATAAATATAAAATATATTTTATTATAAATGTATTCTAGTCGTGCCTGCATATTATTTGTTTTAGATTTTATCATATTACTGCATTTATTTCGTATCGTATTTATGTCTTATATCCATATCCGTACTTCGTATGTTGTAAATTTAATTATTTTTTTCTAAAATTTGAACATGAATTACATTCCACAGCAATCTTGAAGTAAGAATTATGCCAACAAGATTCAATTGCATCATATGTTTAAATTTTGGAGTTGTCCACAGTACCGAATTTTCTTTTCCAGCATCATATATCTATTTATCACATTTGTAATTACTTTTACTAACGTTATTTTTATCACTGTCGTAATACCAAAAAAAGTGATAAAAACATTTAGCACAACAGTGATAAAAAGAACCATAACATGGGTAAAAGTAACCACAATTGTGGTAAATCATCCACAAAAGTGATAAATTTTTTTGAACTAAAAAAAAATGGTAAAAATAGTTATCACAAAAGTGATAAAATAACAACAAACGATAAAAATACTCACAAAAATGATAAATTACTCACAGTTTTTATTATAAAATAACCCATAAAAGTTGTAAAAATATTTAGAAATAGTAAATTTTGAAGTTATAGTAATTATTTTTTGGTCAGAAAGNATTTTTTATTATAAAAAAATGATAAATTACTCACAAAAATTTTTTTTACTCACATTTTTTTTGAAGGTGTTTTTATCACTTTTGTGGTATCGAAAAAAATGATAAAAATAATTAATACAATAGTGATAAAAATAATTAATACAATAATGATAAAAATACCTAAAAAATGATAAATTTTTTAATTTTAAAATGATTCATAAAAATTATAAAAATATCTAATAATTAATGCAATCCTGTTATGTATGGTCGAAGCAAACACATTAATGTTCGGTTCCATTTTCTTAGAGATCTTACGCAAGATGGGACAGTCAAATTGGATTATTGTCGAACTAAAGACCAGCTTGCAGATCTTATGACTAAGCCATTAAAGCTAGATGTTTTTGAGAAGCTGCGAGCACTGATGGGAGTTTGTCAAGATCCAGGCATCAACTGATCTGATATGAATTTAATGGAGGGAATGTTGTAGTAGACTTAGTCTTTGCTTCTGTTAAATAATTCCTATTGTTTAGGAAGTTGACCTACTCTTTGGCTTTATAGATCCACGTTACTAGTGGGATGCACTATTTTAGCATTCTGTTGTAGTAAGGCTATAACCACTTTTACATTCAATAATATATGAGATTTCGCTCACTTTGTTCTTCAAGGAATCCCAGATTCCCTTGGCAGTATCTTTGTGCAAAAATGGTTTCAAGAATAGAGCGATTGATGGCCCAGAAAAGATAGTTTTTCGCACGCAAGTCCTTCAATTTCAGGTCAGCAATTTCCTTCATTCGTGCCTCGGTAAGAGCAGAACCTTCTGCTACAGCAGGAACCCCATTTTCCACAATCTGCCAATACTCTTTGAAGCGAAGGAAGTTCTCCATCAGTATGCTCCAATGATCATAGTGACCATCAAAATGGGGAATAGCAGGCTGAACAAAATTAGTTTCGGTGGCCATTTTGAGCTGTGGTTGCAAGTGGGGAGAATTTTCACTTAGCTGTGATACCATATGTTGATATTGATACGACTTATGCAAAGCAAAGTGAGGAAAAATTCATATATTATTGAATGTAAAAGTGGCTATATATAGCCATACAATAATAGAAAACTAAAATAGTGCATCCCACTAGTAACGTGGATCCATAAAGCAAAAGAACATGTCAACTTCCTAAACAATAGGAATTATATAACAGATGCAAAGATTAAGTCTACTACAACAATCATTGGGGATATTCATCAATCATTTTCTCCTATAAAAAAAAGTATAATAAGTATATTTCTCTAGTTTAAAAATAAAACCACACCAAACACATTCTCTACTTTTTGTAAACTCATTTTGTTTTCTCATTAAACACAAAATACCAACTAAATCATTCATTCTCATAAATAATTTTTTTGATAAAGTTGTTACTCGTAACAAAAAATTAGGTGAAAGTTGCATACATAAACAAATAAAATATCATAAAAAAATTAAAAGATAGTGAAATAATTCAACAAAAAAGATAATAATTGACATATTTGTAATAAAGTCAATGATGTAATACCACAATTTCGATGAAGAACATATCAATATGAAGGAAGTAATAAATTATATTCCTATAAATTTCTATGATCAAAAGTCAAAATATTAATATAAAAATATGTTAGCAAAATTTGGATAAAAAAATTTAATTAGTAATTGTGGATCCCAAAAAAATTTAAATTATTATTAAAAAAATAAAAAGCCTCATTAAACTTTGTCGCTTTAGGCCTCATATACTCTTGAGTTGCCCCGATTTTGAGGAGCCTTAAATCTTGTCATTATTTGCTTGTAGCAATTAATCGTAAAATATAAATATAACTATATATATATATTTATTTATTTTTTAATTTAATTCGTGAAAAATAAGGTTAGTGTATCAAAAAAATATGTTTTAGTATCTTAACCAACCCTAAATGTTAATGTTTTCATCAGTTGAGTGTCATTATTTACCATCAATTACCACAGGGTGGTAGAAAATTCAATTAATGTATTTGAACGGTGTCGCTACTGGTAACTTACTATGAATGACAACCACTGAAGAGTTATTCAATAAGGTTGAAATTAGGGGTCTTAGTTCTGACATGTTGACACGAACTTGACATAAACTCGATGCAAACGATTTTAAAATTGAAACGACTTGGACACCAGACCGCCTGTGCCCGCCCATTTTGTTTAGCCCTAAATGGAATGACTCCCTTAGTTACGCTGCGCCCCGACCCGAGTCCCCACGTCCGTTTTTCTCCGCCCGCAACCCAAGAAGTTGGCTTTGCCAACACAACATTAGGGTCGTCCCCTTCATTCTATGCTAATCCCGGCCTCATAATATCTGTCGTTTAATGAAATCAAATCATAATTAATATTTTTTCTTTCAAATTTACCCTTAACTTTTCAATGCATTAGACTAGGTGGAGGCTAAGTGCCTTTTATATTCTTTTCCTTTCTAATACGTATTGAATAACGGTATTTTAGTCATGTGTAATTATTTTTTACTCATATTAGAGCTATTTAATATCTTCCTTAATTTTTGTGTAAAAACCTTAAACGACAGATATTTATGAACGGAGGGAATAATGTTTAATACTCAGAACACACTAAATAATTTTTTTTTCGTGAATCTTAACACGAACGCGATATGAATAACAATGACCCGATACGAATGACACGACATGTGAATCGCACGAATACGACACGATTGACGTTCCTAATTCAAACCACCAAACAACCACTTTTTACCACGCAAGAGGAAAATAATCTGACCAAATTTTATGACTTCATTTTCTTGTTAAAAGTTTTTACCAATATTCATTTTTTCAGGAAGCGAAAATGAAAACATGAACAACAAACACTATCCTCAAACTTAAAAACTTGAGGTAGTGACCGGTTACCGGCAGATATAGGACAAGAGCTAAGCTGGCTAGCCGTCAACCCCTAAGGATTAATTGTCGTAACTTAATATTTATTCATTTGGTAGTTATTCTATTGCCGTAGATTTGATATATAGGTCTAAACGATTTAATTTAATCTTAACGGATTAAATAGTTAATGGATAAATCCATCAAATCAATTTAAGTAATGAATTGACTTAAACTTAACTAAATAAAATATATACACGACAACAACTCAACATGACTCAATTTGACGATATTAAGAAACATGACATTACAATATGAATTTTACATGAGCCCATTGCCAACCCTATTGTATGGGTCCAGTTGTTGGAGTGGATGTAAATACTATACCAACAACAAAGAAAGGTTAAAGGAAAAAACATAATTAAATTAGAAATATTCCACAGAAATGCTGGTTTACTTGACATTTAATATCTTTTCATATGGTTAAAAAGATTCAACCACATATATAGCTAAGCCAACCTCGGAAGGAACTATGCATTTAGACACACAGCCAGAAGTTAGTAGTGGAAGAACCTCAGGAACACCAACTTCAGAAATGGAGTTTGAGGAAGAAGAAGTGTCAGAACCAGTGAGTCCTACTGCACAATACTTCAACAGCTCAGTGTTATCTGTTACTATCATCGGTGTTTTGGAGATTGCAGTCCCATTAGATGACTTACAAACCATGTCATTACTCAAAAATGTGTTCTTGCCCATCAACCCTCGGTTCTCCTCCGTCATGGTACACTCCCTGTCTCCCTCTCTCTCTCTCTCTCAATATATATATATATATACATATTTGTGTGTGTGTAGCCTTCACTAAACTGATCAATGCTCTGTGGTTTACAGTTTACTAAAAATACATTTTCCTCATGCATTTTGTGTAAAGAACATGAAGAACAACTGTCCCCTTGTCTGGATGGTACTATTTGCCATACATTTCAGTGTTTTCAGCTATCAATAAACGAAAACTGTATTTTCAGTGTGGCCATTTCCATCTTTTGCAGATCGCCAACTTTCTACCCAAAAAGAAGAATGCTTTAACTTTTGTACTGTTTAGTGACGCGTTTTTAAGTAACTTATTTGAAACATAAGATAATTTTGTTGAAAAAACAAGAACATGTTGATTGCTATTTTGTAAAGAAGATTTATATGCATCTTGGTAGATGAATGACACACATGTGTGCATTAGGGTTCATTTGGAGAGAGAGACAGAGTCAGGCAGAGAGGAAGGCAAAAAAAAAAAAAAGCCTATATATTATTACTAATTTTGCTGCTAAAAGGATTTAAATGGGAGATTTCGTTAAAGACTTTTGTTCTCCATGTTTTTAAAATTTTCAGCATAAAGAGCTGCAAACAAGTCTGACTTGTTTTCTATCTTTTTGCCCCAGTTCTCACTTTTTTCCAAAAACTTGTGAATAAAAACTCAAACCAAATAGATTTTCACTGTTTTTAAAATTTTGAGAATAAAAAATAAGTTTCAAGAAACAAGCCAAACACAGCCCAAGTTTCTAGGGCAAAAAAAATGACAGAGGTGTAATTACATAATGTTTTGGGCTGAGAGTATCTTTTCCTAGATTAGGTAATCTTGTTTGTTTGGGTATTTATTTGTGAACAGGGACGGACCCACGTTTCAGGGTGTGGGGCCAGTATCTTCCATTGACTTTCGAATAACATTGCAGATAAGATGAATTTTTTAAAGAATGAATTTTTCAATAAGATGAAAGATGACTTTAATTAGATTTCACACTAAAATGAATGATGATTTTGTCGATAGGCCTTTTGCTTGTGTGCATTGAAAGGAAAGTAAAAATTATTTGTTGCCTTTTTTCCTATTTTATTAAGTCCAAATGGTATTAATTTTATGTTTTATTTAAGGGTTAATAGCTCTTTTGATTTCTAACATATATATTTTTTTGTCAATTTAGTCATAAACGTATCAATTTTATCAATTTAGTTTTTAAAATATTCAAGTCGTGTTATTTTAGTCTCTATATAAACGGATCGTTAAGTTTTTGGACGAAAGTGGTCACGTGTCATTTTTTTAGATGATATCACATGCTCAACACGTAATCATTCTGTCAAATATTATGGATACACACCATTGTACCAATATGGGAAGACATATCACGATCTCTGTAATCATGCAATCAAAAACACTAACATAGGAAACGTGTATAGCTTTAATATAAGATTCTGCTTGAAGGATTTTCTGTTATTTCCTTTTTCTATTATTTGACTTTACTGTATAAATATCTTATACATACACTCAATAAACATAAGCTTTTACATTCTACCAGAATTATTATGGTATCAGAGCAACAACTGCTGCAAATCTTTGCTTCTTCTTAACGAGTAACCATTCCGTTGCCATTACGTTTTTATGTCTGGGATTAGTCCATCCTGTTATAAGTTTCTTTGAAAATTCCGTCTATTTTACATTGGACAAGTAACCACTCCGCTGCTGTCAAATTATATTTTTGGGGGTCAATTCATTCCTTTTCCATCTCTTTGACGCTTGAATTCTTTGTTGTTCTCGACATGGTAGTCGACAAAATGACCAAGAATGATGAAACTTTACATTAGTTTGTTCTACATCATTCGGATAATCCGGGCACCATTTATTAGAGGATCGTAACAAATCGTAACAGCCCGTTAGTTTCTCTAAGTTTGAATTCATGCAAACTTGTTGTTCCTTAGATTTAGGAAACTGTTTTCAACTGCTCTATATTTTAGGATCTCAAACAAATGTTTGTTATCCCACTTGTGTATTTAATAGTTGCAAAATGTATATGAAAGATATGACTGACTTTCACTATACGAAATGGTATCAGAGCATCCACAAGTGGTATAAGCCGACCCAATTTTTTTTTTCTTCTCTTCCTCTGTTCTTCAACACTCATGGCTACCGAATTTGACCCTTCAACCATCCTCAACACCAATGAGCCAAACCAAACTCTAATCAGCATCAACGTTGCTGCTCAAGCCCCTCTCAAACTCACCTCTACAAATTACCTCTCTTGGAAACTACAGTTCCAAACACTCTTCATTGGCTATGATCTTCTTGGCTATATTGATGGCTCCAGACCATGTCCGCCAGCCACCTTGACCCAATCCAATACAACCATACCCAATCCCAATACAAACATACCCAATCCCAAGTACGTTCTATGGACCAAATAGGACCAGCTGATCCTTAATGCTGTCATTGGCTCCATCTCACCCACCATTATTCCCTTCATAGCTCAAGCCAAGACCTCCAGACAAGCCTGGACAATTCTAGCCAACACCTATGCTAAGCCCTCTCGTAGCCGCATCAAACAAATCAGAAACCAACTCAAGAACACCACCAAAGGTTCCCTCAGCATTACTGAATTTATGCAAACCATCAAAACTAGAGCAGATGATCTTGCTCTTCTTGGAGCCTCCATTGATGAAGAAGAAATCACTGACAAAATTCTAGATGGTCTCGGTGATGATTACAAGGAATTAGCCCACGCTGTCCAAGCCAGAGATACCTCCATAAGTTTTGAAGAACTTCAAGAAAAACTCCTCAATTTTGAAGCCTCTCTTCAAGCAATTCCAACCGAGCCACACCATTTTTCAGCTACGGCAAATCCCACATACTGAAGCAACACCAAAAATTGGCGTCCTTCTCAACCACAAGGCACTACCACCACCAACTAGCGCCCATCCTTCAACTCATCCAACCGCCCACCTGTTGCAAACAATACAGAACCTCATTCATCATAGGCCTCTCGTCCTTCTCCTAGACCATACCTTGGTCACTGCCAAATTTGTAGGATTCAGGGTCACACTGCCAAACGCTGTCCATCATTTCGCCTAGTACCAGTTCACACTTCCCACACATCTAGCTCTTCTCAACCCAACACACCATGGCAACCACAAGCTCTCCTTGCCACCAATCCTTCCACCACACCATCATGCCTTTTGGACAGTGGTGCATCTCATCATGTAATATCTGATCTGGGCAATCTTTCATTGCATGCTCCATACATTGGCACGGATGACATCATGATCGGAGATGGCTCCAATCTTCCCATCACCCACACTGGTTCCACCTCTCTCAAAACTCCTCACAATACATTTACATTAAACAATGTTTTCTGTGTTCCATCTATGAAAAAGAACCTAATCTCTATATCACAATTTTTCCATTCTAACAATGTTTCCATAGAGTTCTTACCATCCACTTTTCTTGTGAAGGAACTTCGCACTAGGGCAACACTGTTGAAAGGACGAACTAAAGATGGTGTCTATGAGTGGCCAACCTCCTCTCCTTTGATTGCCTTCTCCACATTAAAGACGACTTCCTTCGACTGGCACCATAGACTAGGATATCCTGCCTTTTCAATTCTCAAACATATTGTTTCCAGTAATCATTTAGGCTTATCTTCCTCTTTATCTCTTGATTTCTCCTGTAATGCTTGTCTTTGCAATAAAAGCCACAAATTGTCTTTCTCCAACTCTTCAATTGTCTCTAATAAACCTCTTGAAATAATATTTTCAGATGTCTGGACCTCTCCAATTTTCTCACATAATGGTTTTAAATATTATGCAATCTTCATTGATCACTTCACTAAATATATCTGGTTTTACCCACTCAAACACAATTCCGAAGTCAAAGAAGTATTTATAAGATTCAAAGCCATTGTGGAAAAACACTTCAATTTAAACTTCGAAACCCTGTACTTTGACAATGGTGGTGAGTACATCTCCCTCGCTCATTTTCTTTCCACCAATGGTATCTCTCATCTCACCACTCCACCTTACACACCTGAACACAATGGTTACTCCGAAAGAAGACACCTTCATATAGTCGAAATAGGCCTTGCCCTCCTCACTCATGCTTCGTTACCCCTAACCTACTGGACCTATGCCTTTGCCACAGCCGTCTACCTCATCAATAAAATGCCCACTCCCATCTTAAATCTCTCCTCACCCTACCACAAAATATTTCTCACAGCACCAAATTACTCGAAACTAAGGGTCTTTGGCTGCTTATGCTACCCTTGGCTCCAACCTTACACATCACACAAACTTGAATCACGATCAAAGCCTTGTGTTTTTCTTGGGTACTCTCACACTCAAAGTGCATACTATTGCCTTGACCCTTTAACCTAAAAACTCTATGTCTCCATACATGTCAAATTTGTTGAGTCTCAGTTTCCCTACTCTTCATTATCTGGTCCGTCCTCTTGTCCTCATCCCAACACCATTGCTACCTGGATTCCTGGACCAATTAAAGTTATCTCATCCTCTTCCTAGCCGCCACTCACTATGCCATCTGAAGTCATCGTCCTTCAGCAACCTCAATGTGCAGCTCCAACACACTCTCCAGTACAAGTTCCATCCACCAACACAAACCAAGCCACCCATCCAACCTCAACTCCCTTGCCATCCTCAACCAATCCAGCCTCACCCCAAATCATCCCAACCGAACCTCATCCTCCTCCAACACACTCAGTGACCACCCGAGCCAAGAACCACATTCATAAACCAATAACTAAAATGAACCTTCATACCCAACTCTCAAAATCCAACGACCTTGAACCAACAACAGTGAATAAAGCCCTGCTAGATCAAAAATGGTGTCAAGCCATGTCTGATGAGTGTGATGCTGTAGTTAGGAATGGAACATGGTAACATGTTCCACTTGATCCTACACAGAATATTGTTGGGTGTAAATGGATTTTTTTGAATTAAACGTAACTCTGATGGCTCTATTGATAGGTTCAAAGCATGTTTGGTCGCAAAAGGATTTCATTGAAGACCAGGAGTGGATTACCTAGACACTTTCAGCCCGGTTGTAAAACCAACCACAGTTCGTGTTGTTCTTAGCCTTGCTGTATCTCGGTCCTTACGCCAACTTGATGTCAACAACGCCTTTCTCCAAGGCCACCACTCCAAAAATGTTTACATGCAACAACCACCAGGTTTTGTTAATCAAGATCATCCATCTTATGTCCGCAAACTTCGAAAGGCAATCTATGGCCTCAAACAAGCACCTAGAGCATGGTATCATGAACTTCGTAATTTCCTCCTTCACTTTGGATTCCAGAATTCTCATGCTGATACCTTTCCATTTGTGCTCACTACTGTTGGACATATTATGTATCTACTTGTATATGTGGATGACTTAATAATCACTGGTGACATTACTATGCTAATCGACTCCTTTGTTAATGTTCTTGCTCATCGGTTTTCCATTAAAGATCTTGGACAACTATCTTATTTCTTGGGTGTGGAGGTAGTCCCAAATCGGCAAGGTATTTTACTGTCTCAAAGGCGTTACATTCTGGATATTCTGGCTCGAACTCATATGATTGATGCCAAACTAGTGCTAACTCCCATTCCAACTAGCCCACCTCTGATGTTAAAATTGGGCTCTCCTTTGTCCGATCCCACAGAGTACAGAACAATTGTTGGCAGCCTTCAATATCTCTTGATTACAAGATTGGACATTACATTTGCGATTAACAAGCTCTCTCAATACATGCACACACCCACAACCGAACATTGGAGTTTTGTTAAACGTCTACTACACTATCTGTGTGGTACTACTAATGAAGGACTCCAAATAAATCGTTAGTCTCCATTGAATCTTTATGCCTTTTCGGATCATTTGCATTGTGACTTATCACTCCACTTACAAGCCTATTCAGACGCAGGTTGGGCAGGTGACAAGGATGATTTTTCATCCACCAGTGCTTATATCATCTATCTTGGTCACAATCTAGTCTCCTGGAGTGCTAAGAAGTAGAAAACGATTGCTAGATCTTCCACTGAAGCTGAATACAGGTCAGTGACTAGTGCAACTGCTGAGCTCAATTGGCTTTGTTATCTTCTAATTGATATTGGTGTTCAACTACCTTGCTGTCCCGTCTTATACTGTGACAATGTTGGTGCTACCCAACTCTGTTCCAATCCAGTGTTTCACTCCAGAATGAAACATGTTGCCATCGATTCCCACTTCATTAGGGACCAAATCCAAAATGGTGTATTTTGTGTTACTCATGTGTCTTCAGCAAATCAACTTGCAGATGCACTCACCAAGTCTCTTCCCCGTGCCTATTTTCTTGATCTCAAATCCAAGAATGGACTTCTATTTCGGGCTCCATCTTGAAGGGGCATATCAGAGGATTGTAACAAATCGTAATAGCCCGTTAGTTTCTCTAAGTTTGAATTCATTCAAACTTGTTGTTCCTTAGATTTGGGAAACAGTTTTCAACTGCTCTATATTTTAGGATCTCAAACAAATGTTTGTTATCCCACTTTTGCATTTAACAGTTGCAAAATGTATTTGAAAGATATGACTGATTTTCACCATCTGAAGTCATTTTGGTGTCCTTGGTATTGACTGGTGATAACTACACCACATGGAGTTGATCGATGCTTAAAACTTTGAGTGCCAAGAACAAAACAGACTTTGTAAATGGCACAATAACTCAACCAGCAACTATAGATTCGACTTACAAACAATGGAAGTGATGTATTGATATGGTGTCGTTGTGGATCATGAATGCTCTTTCCAAAGAGCTCATTAGTGGCTCAATTTATGCCGAAACTGCATAAGAGCTTAGAAATGAATTGCATTTTCTCAAATCAATGGCCCTCAAATTTATCAAATCCAGGGATATGTCAATTTTCTTAGACAAGGTCAAGATTCGATATCCAGTTATTTCAAAAGGTTAAAGGCGTTGTGGGACGAATTGAATCTTCATAATCCCATTCTCGCGTGCAATTGTAGCATTGTGAAAACTCTAGACACTTATAAACAAAGAGATCAAACTATGCAATTTTTGATTGGTCAAAATGACAGTTATACCTCAGTCCGTGCACAAATTCTTCTCATGGAGACTATTCCTACAATGAGCAAGGCCTTTGCTCTTGTCTTGCAAGAAGAAAGAAAACGTTCTATTGTAGCTCCCTCATCCTTGTTGGATGCCATAACCTTCATTGTGAAAGGGGGTTCAAAATTTGGCAAAGATAACCAATTCAAGAGGCCCACATGTGAACATTGTGGTTGGGTTAGAGACACTAAAAAGAAATGTTACAAGTTGGTGGGTTACCCACTTGGTCATCCGCTACACAAGGACTCATCAAAGTAGGCCTCACATTACATTGCCCCAAAGCAATCATTTTCAGTAGCTACCAACCAAGTGTCCATTAACACCCAACCAAGCTCTTTTTCATTCACACCCGAACAATTCAATCAACTTCTTGGACTGCTCAACAATTCCCAACCCATGGCCGTAGGTAATCCTTCATCAAGTTGCACTCTCTTAGGTATTACACTTAACACAACCTCGTCTCTTTCATCTATCACATGGAGCGTTGACACATGGGCCACATATCATATGGTTGGTTCTGTTTCCCTTCTGAACCATATAACCTTCTTCGGATCCACTAGTGTTAAGCTTCTTAACGAAGATAATGTTCTTGTTTCTCATATTGGAAGTGCAACACTATCTTCTATTTTGACATTGCACAATGTGCTTTGCGTCTCATCATTTCATTTCAATCTCATTTATGTTAGAAAATTAACTCATGACTCCAATTGTCCAGTTCAATTTTTTTTTCTGATCTTTGTCTTATCCAAGACTTGTCCACGAAGATGATGATTGGAGTAGGTAGAGTTTGTGATGGCCTTTATGCTTTCGCCATTCCATGTTTTGAAACAACAACTCATGTGAGTACTACCACAACATATGATCTATGGCATACAAGACTTGGACATGCTAGTTGTGATCGTCTTAAATTATTGTCTTCTTATGTTCTTGATATTTCTATTCCTGTTCATAATCATTGTGGAATTTTCCCACTTACTAAACAAACTCGTTTACCATTTCCATTAAGCACTACTAAGGCTCTTGTTCCTTTTGAATTGATTCATTGTGATATTTGGGGAGATTATTGTGCACCTTCTATCCATTTTTGATGACATTACCCGTTGCACTTGGGTTTTTCTCATGCAAACTAAGGGTCAAACTTGAACACTCTTGCAATCCTTTCATACTTTTGTGAAAACCCAATTCAACCACAAGATCAAAATTGTTCGGTCCGATAATGGGTTAGAATTTAATATGTCCAACTTTTATAATCAAAATGGGGTCATCCATGAATGCAATTGTGTTGACACTCCACAACAAAATGGGGTGGTGGAGCGTAAACACCAACATTTGCTTAGTGTTGCCCGTGGCACTACGTTTTCAAACTAGTCTACTCATTTGTTTTTGAGGGGAATGTGTACTGTATTAGCTTCTTCTACCTTATAAATTGCACTCCTACCCCACTTCTTTCAGGAAAAAAAACTCATGAAATGTTATTTCAATCTCCACCTTCTTTTTTGCATTTAAGATCTTTTGGTTGCTTGTGTTATGTTACTAATACTAGTGCTTTCAAATCAAAATTTGATGCTCGTGTGACTCGTATTTTTCTTGGATATCCTTTTGCTCCAAAGGGTTACGAGGTTTATGACTTGGAAAGCAAACACTTATTTGTATCAACAGATGTGCAATATCATGAAAATATCTTCCTTTTCGTCAAGTTAAACAATTCACCTTCAGAATTTTTTGGTCTTACCCGAACGCATTCTTGATGAACTTAGTGATGGTGTCAATGGTACTTCTCCTCCCATGGATGTTTCCTCTCTAGTCATGGATGTCACACCAGCCCCTCAATTGGTTGCCATTCCACCATCTTCTTCACCTTCTATGCCACGTCGATCTTCACGGGCATCCCATCCACCTTTATACCTCACTAATTGTCATTGCAAAATGGTTGTCCAAATTATACCTTCTATGGCATGATCCTTGGTATCTTATGATAAATTGTTTGTCTCACATCGTGCTTTCATAGTGAACATTTCAACCATTGTAGAGCCAAAGTTTTTTAAACAGGTTGTCCTTGACCCTAATTGGAGGCACGTAATGGCCGAGGAAATTAAAGCCTTAGAGCTACTAATACTTGGACTCTCACTGTACTTCCAGATCCCAAAGAGGGTATTGGAAACAAATGGGTTTATAAGGTAAATACAATTCTGATGGGAGCCTTGAATGATATAAATTCCCGCCTTGTTGCTAAAGGGTACAATCAGAAATTTGGCCTTGACTATCAGGAAACCTTCGCACACGTTGCAAAACTTGTCACAGTTTGTTGCCTCCTTGCTATTGTTGTTGCCCAAAATTGGCATTTACATCAACTTGATGTGAATAATGCTTTTCTTCATAGTGACTAAGATGAGGAAGTACACATGTAACTTCCACTAGGATTTTCTCATCAAGGGGAGAAGAATCTTGTTTTTCAACTCAACAAATCTTTGTACAGTCTTAAGCAAGCATATCGCCAGTGGTTTACAAATCTCTCTTCAGCTTATTAACCGAAGACTATCTAAGGTTGATTTTTCACCCTTCACTCGAATTATATCCAGCTCATTCATAGTCATTGTAGTCTATATTGATGATATTATTGTTGTTGGCAGTGATCTTGCTTCCATTAAAGATATTAAAGATTTTGTTCATAGCACATTCAATATTAGAGATCTTGGAGTCCTCAAATATTTTTTTGACCCTGAATTTGCACAATCTAGACAGGGCATTTTCTTATTTCAAAGAAAATATGCTCTTGATATTCTTGAAGATTCTATCCTTCTTGGTTCTCTACCTTCTTCATTACCGATAGAATAACATTTAAAGTTGAACAACCGTGATGGTGTGTTGCTATCAGACTCATCAAGCTATCGACGCTTAATTGGACTTGTAATTTACCTCACCATCACTTGTCCAGATTCGACTTATTCCATACATATGTTAAGCCAATTTCTTGATAAGCCTTGCCAACTCTATCAAAGTGCTGCTAATCATATTCTTCGTTATATCAAACAAACTCTGAGTCAAGGAATTTTACTCTCCTCATCTAGTGATCTCCAATTACTTGCCTTTTGTGATGCTAATTAACTGGGTTCTTCCCCAATCTCTTGGAAGTCCAAGAAACAGACCACTATCTCTCGTTCTTTAGCTAAAGTCGAGTACCGCGTCATGGCTAGTACGTGTTGTGAGATCATCTGGTTGTCTTATCTACTCAAGATCTTGGTGTCAATCACAAGTCTGCTACTCTTTATTGTGACAACATGGCAACCCTTCATATTGCTGTCAATCCAATTTTTTACGAATGTACCAAACACATTGAGATCAATTACCATATTGTTCGTGAGAAATTTTGGGCAGGCCTTATTCATACTACTTTTTTGCCCTCTCAATAACAATTAGCAGATGTTCTTATGAAACCGTTTGGTTCATTAGCATTCCGCATGTTGAGTTTCAAGTTGGGTGTTCCCAATATTCACATGCCAACTTGAGGGGGAGTATTACGGATACACACCAGTGTACCAATATGGAAAGGCATATCTCAATCTCTGTAATCATGCAATCACAAGCATTAACATAGGAAACATGTGTAGTTTTAATATAGGATTCTGCTAGAATGATTTTCTGTTATTTCTTTTTACTCTTCTTTGACTTTACTGTATAAATATCGTATACATACACTCAATAAACATAAGCTTTTACCTTCTACCAGAATTATTAAAACTTAACGGTTCGTCTATGTGAGGATCAAAACGATACAAATTGAATATTTTAGGTACTAAACTAACAAAAAATGCATACTTTAAGGACCAAAAGTGCTATTAACCATTCATTTAATATTGTAGCATTGAATCTTCATATATTTATCATGTTTAATTTTTTTTTCTTTAAATTGTTGGATAATATTCTAATTCATGCTTTGCACAATCTATAACAAAATCTTGACTCCACTTTTTTTTGTGAATATGCATTGAAAAGTCTTAATAAATGTACAAATTGAAATACCAAGTACTATGTTGGAGCAGGTCAGAGATGACGATGGAGAAAAGAAATGGAAGCGGGTTGAAGTGAACCTTAAAGACCATCTTATTTACCCAAATTTCCCTCAAGGAATGTCACTAGAATTTTATGATGAGTACTTGGGTGACTACTTAACAAAAATAGGCATGGATCAATTACCACAAACTAGACCATTGTGGGAAATTCACATAGTTAAGTACCCAACAAGCAGTGCAACAGGGAATGTAATATTCAAACTTCACCATGCTTTGGGTGATGGCTATTCTCTCATAGGAGCTCTTCTTTCTTGTATGCAAAGAGCTGACAATCCTTCTCTTCCCTTGACGTTCCCTTCATGTCAATCGAGCTCCAAACCCAGGCATGATAGCGTTAGCATTTTCAGGCGTGTACCGAGAGTTTTATCTGGGATGATCAACACTGTATTAGATTTTGGATGGACCCTCTTGAAGAGTAGCATTGTAGAAGATGATCGGACACCAATCAGATCCGGAGATGATGGGGTTCAGTTCTGCCCTGTCAATATAACTACCATGACATTCTCTCTTGATCAGTTCAAGCAAATTAAGGCCAACCTTGGTGTGGTAATTCTATTTCTCAAGTAGCATACCTTTATGACTATGTTCATATGATACATTTTTCTTGTAGATTTCCCATGCTATGTTCAATAAATAAGGGTTAAATGAGAATAGAAAAATAACATCTAATATTTTGCATCATTTATCTTACAATTACATGATATATGTAAAAGGAATTTGCATCATTTAAAACTAAGCCAACTCATAATTTGAAAAACATTTTGAGAAGAGTAATGCTATTGAAACTAAAAAAATTGACCTAATGACGTGGTAGTTACATGATTTAATAGTATTGTTATGACTATAACTGTTTGGGCTTTTGCATTGAGAGTCATTACTTACCACATCATAGGTCAGTAAATGAGGTCACTTTTTTAGGTTCCAATAACATTACTCATTTTTTTTTTTGGTAGTATTACGGTCAGGTCAGGGGTATTTGGACTTGTTTTTGCACATTTAGACTAATTCCCTCTCCGTTTCAGTCAAATACAGACCATCCACCCTAGGACTAGAAAATTCATAAAGGATTAATCTCTTATGACCTGACCTGACCTCAACAATATTGCTAAGTTTCGAACTTAAGATGCCTAAATTTACAGTTCATCCCTATCTCCATTGGGCTAGCCTTTGGGGCTAACAACATTACTCATTTGAGAATCATGAGTTTGGGTCTAGCCCTAAAGTTAGATAAACATGTAAGAGTAGTGATTACCAAGGTTTAGAATTAGAAAGTCCACCTCAAAAGCTGGGATCTAGAGTTGAGTTTTACAATCCTGCTATACTTCCTACAAATGTTCTAAATTTTGCATTTCAAATGAACATGCATAATTTTTTTTGATGGAACCTTTTGATCCAATTTTTCACATTCATTTAGGATGTAAAAATAACAACACCTGATCAGAATTACACCTTAATCTGTGTATATAGGTATCAAAAATTTAGAATAATTGAAATATTAAGATCAACTTGGATTTTCAAGTCGAACAATTGATTTTCTCCAAGGTAATGAAGTTTGTTGCATAATCAAACTGAACTCGTATTAGAGTTCTTAAATATGACTCAAATTAAGATCAATCTAATTTGGTACAAAATATAATCTGTTAGGCATAGCACCAAGAGGGTCGAAACTTCTTTGTTTTTTTGTTTTTCAAATAATTTGGTTTGGAGGTTAGGGTTTTCATACAAGAATTACTATTTGGAAGTTTTTATCTATTAACCCTAAGGGGTAGCTTAATTAGTAATAAAGACGAGTTATAAATTCAAACATTCTGACTTCGAATTTTGACGACTCCTTAACGTCAAACTATGAAGGTGATGCAAATCAAGAAGTGGTTCCTTAAATCTTGGTGATAAGAGCAGAAGATAACTATGAGGAATATGTGGTAGTTATTATTATTGTTTTTTTTGTTATTTGTTTGTTATCTCTTTCCTAGTTTGTTTCCTAGATTTTAGCCTTTGTCATTATATAGAAACGGAATGAGAAGGAATGAGGGAGTACGAATTTTTTTTGTGAATAAAATTCTAGAGAGATTCCTGTTGCAGAGAGATTCTGTGCTTTGTTTCCCCTCTTGGCTGTTGATGTGAGGTTGAACCAAGAGGTCTTACATCATTTTGGCATCAGAGCCCAGTTTCCTTTATAAGAAAAATTTCATCATTTCATGCCCGTGACCTGAAACGGCAATTCATACACCATGTCAAACAATGCAACCCAAGAACAACCCAACTTACAACAGCAAGTCACTCAAATTACCTCAAATTTGGAGCAGATCTCACACCATTTGGATGTACTGGAAGAATGTCAGGCTCGAGAGGAGCTACGAATTCCCACTAGAAGGAGGCGTGTTCCACCTCGTGAAGAGGAATTAGAAGCAAGTGGTGAGGAAGAGGAAGACAAGCTGAATGACGATGACCATAGGAGGTTTGGACACCATGACTTTTGTAGCAGGGAACATTATCATCAAGAACATGGCGAGCGTGGTGTAGGCTATCACCAATAACCTCTTGATGAGCTGACCAAGAGGATAAAAGTGGGTGTGCCAGATTTTTATGGAAAATTAGAACCCAATGCTTTTGATGGTTGGTTAACGGCCATTGATGATTACTTTGATTGGTTTGCTGTATCAAAGGATCAAAAGGTTCGTTATGTCCGAATGAAATTGAAGGGGCATGCAAGAGCTTGGTGGGGAAGTGTGGAATAGCAATTGCACTGTACTCGACGTCCATCAGTTTCCAACTGGGAGGAGATGAAGGAACGAATGAAGGAAAAATATTTGCCCATTCATTATGAGCAAATGATGTTCGAAGAGATGTTACAATTGAGGCAAGGATCATTGACAGTCGATCAATACA